GAAAAAATACTACTAAAATGCTACTCGATATTTTTCACTTTGAGCAAAATGTATGTATCATAAATATTTTGTGGTTTTAATTTAAATAATATCGGGATAGGTTAAATCCTCAACGAAGTCGATGCCTATATGATAAAACTTTGCAGACAATTACAAGACTAAATGCAGTTGAAAATCTTAAAAAAATATAATCCCAATAATGTCTAAAGCACCTGAAACCGAAAGCTGATTTTGAATTAAATATTTAAACCTTTTGCGCACATATACATCATATTCGTTCGCTGATTCGTTGATCCAACGTGTTAGCGTATTTTTTTTCACTGATAAAAACGGTGGTGAAGATATAAATTTATCATTGACGTCGATCTGTTYTGCGATTATTGGTCCTTTGATTTATGCAAACATTATACCGACATGATGTGTGAGACGACGTTTTCTGCCGGTCTAGAACTTAACTTCTTACGAGTCGGACAGCTCTCGTATTCCGAATTGATTTTTGCCGTCAAATAAACGTTAAGAACTTTTTGAATTAAATCAGAATTTTTTTACTTCAATAATATGTATATTCCGCTATAGAAAACTTCACAGGTTTTTTTCAAACAGAAATATATAATCGAACCTTTTCTGGAATAGTTTATAAGTTATTATTATATTCACTTAATACTTTAAATGATTATTTCTAATTAAGACTTCGAACTTTTTAATGGATCAGCAACTTTTTAAAATTTAAATTGCCTAAGTTGGGGTTTATGAACTGATTATTATTTAAGAAGAACTAATAACTAAACAACAAAGTAAACATACTACATACAGGTAGATTCCGAAAAAAAAAAAAATTATTTCCGCGGTGTAAACGATGTGCAGTATCCAATTGAAATTATATATATATATCATGCATATTATAAAGAATTATTTTTATTTAGATACTATTACAACTTGAAACTTGTTAAGCTTTTAACAATTTAATCTTTAAAATGGTTTGGTATTAAACCCATATAACTCGTAAACTTTTTGAACTTAAATACGATATTTTGATGGTATGTCAAAAAAAAAGAGAATTTTCAAAAGATCAGTGGTGATTATGTTTCTGAAGGTTTCGTGATTTTCATAATATTGACTCGTTTAGACTCAATATAACGAAATAACTTATTTAAAAACGGATGTAATTGACAGTCTATACATACTCACAGAATGAAATGATATTAGACATCGTGCGGGTAAAATTACGTTATTAAGGCGACAGTTGAAAATAAATTATAAATTTACAAGAAAATACAATACGCCGGAGATGCGTCAAAACACTGATACACTAACATCATTAATTTTTTTATATAATTTAGTATATTATAAAATCAATGCTAACACGTACGAAATCGGTTTGAGTGCAGTGTAGTGAATGTTATGCATTAACCTACCTATTCGATTTAGTATTGTATTGTGCTTTATGCGTATCACAATTATTCGCGAACACAAGACATGTCATTTATTAAATTATAGGTGTGATGGATATATTTATAGGTATAGATGACTGGTGGGTGTATGGTATACTTGTGAAGCATAATATTATTATATTATTTAGGTAACCGTTGCACCCATACCATTATTATGTATAAATACCCCCCCCCCCCCCCTGATTCGATTGTAGTTTTGGCCTGCAGACGCGATACGTTCGTTTTAGGTTTGAAATTATTGTTGCTTTCAATTTCTTATGTGCTTTTAAAATCGTACCTATATTATAAATAATCTAACCATTCTAACCTTTATGCGTGTGTGTTGTACATGTACTTCAYATACGAGTACTACGTTCAGTGTGTAAAGGATGTCGTTTGTAAATGTATTATATTATACTGTTCCTTATTCGATTCCAGTGTTTATAGTAATGAATTTCAAACGATTTTAGACGTGTATTTCATATTACCACGATTTTACAATATCACGTAACTTAATATTGAATTAAAATTAAAGTTTTCCAATAAAACGTAACTTAATATTAAATTAATGCATCGGAAACGCTTAAGCGTGCTATGTGTATTGTCGTTGTATTTGCGTGTTTAAAACTGTAAGTGCTATATAGAAAAATAAAAAAAACATAAAAAATCAAATACATATTATAATATAGTATTATGGCGCTATTTTTTCGTTCGATAGCACTAAAGAATCAATGAAGTGCATCATCGAAATACGCAAGTGAATTTTAGCGTTCCGAAAAATAATTTCATAACTGATCCGACTGTCAACAAAGAATTAAAAAAAACCATAAACAATTTCGGTAAATTTAATTTCAAAACTTTGATAGAAAAAATCGTAAAGAAATCTGGGTGGATTACTTGAAATTTCTTTGGATGATAGTTGGACTTTTACTCTTAAAATATTTAGTTGGCAAACCATCTTGTTTGGTTGTACGGTCGGACAATACGGCGATCAGTTGCGAAAATCTGAAATCTAATTCGCTCCGTTACGCCGCATGGAATCTAGTTTATATAATATATTGTTAGAATAATCCGTCTCCAAACCGTGTGCAGTTTTTTTTTTGCGCAAAAAACAAATCCTATATAGTATATAAGTCATTTATAAAGATGCATCTCAGTTTTACTGTACCTCAAGATCACGGTAAACTCAGAATCAGTGCATATATTTGTGAAATAATTTGATCTAGATGGGAAACCCACAAGTCACGAATTGGATTTAGCACWTGRTATATTTTTTAACATACTTTAACTCTYTAAACTGTTCTTATTGTGTATTAACACATTATTTGAGATTTTTGTCAAAATCAATCAAGTATTTTTTGAGTATACAACAAATATATTTTGTTTTTAAGATAAAGTTTCTTTAATCTATCCCATATGTAAACTCGATGATTTTATGTTTGATGCACGCGTATGTATATACGTCCTGATATGCCAAGTAACCAATGGCAACCATTATTTATTTACAAAAAAGTTTCAGTTTCCTTCTTGGTTCTCAAAATCTTTGTCCTATATAGAAACACTTAAAGCATGCACATTTTAGAAAATCCTTTCTCTACATTATATCGTGGAACGAAACTACTRTCCAAAGTCCATACTTAAGCTTCGGTGATTCCAGCTTGGCGATGATGAATCAGTCAGCCAGGAAAAGGTTTTCTTATAATATGTATATGTGTATTATATGCATGGATAAACAGATAACATGAACTATCGTTTCATGGTTTTGGAATACGACAAAATTCGTTATTTTTTTAGATGGGACAACAAAAAGTGTGCCCCCTATCGCCATCAATAATAATCATTTCTGGCAATTTTACAGACTATATTATGTATTTTGTATGGTAGGTACACTAAAGTAGGTTCCAATACACGCGMACCGAAAGTATTTCACTTATTTTTAAGTATTGTGTTTGTTTTTTATAATATTACTAAAATCTTAAACATATTATATTTTCCAGTGATATTAGAAATTGAAGATCGTGAACAATTTCTATCAGATATGGAGAATTTGGGTCAAGGGTCCAAGTACAGTGCTTCCATAATCCACGAGATTTGCGATCGAATAAAAAAATTGGAAGCGTTTGTCAGTAAAAATTCCTGTAACCACAGAATGACAGATGTGAAAGACATTGCCAATAAATATCGAATACCGTTGGGATTACCAAAAACATTACCGGGATCGTTATCGATCAGTTGAATGATGTGTTTAATTTAATATAAAAAAAAAATAATAATAAAAATAATTTAATCGAATTGTATCGTTTATATAATTCATTCGATTTTCCCACGTCAAATATACGGAATGGTTAGCTACCTATATGACGTTGTCCAAATGTCATAGGTATGTATAGAATTTTAAAATTTAAATAAACTTTTTTTATTTTATTTTATATAAATATATATATATACAAAAACTGTACCAGTTGGCGAAATAAGAGTATGAACTATACACAGGAAAAAAAATTTAAATGTTAAACTTTTACAAACATATAGTTGGACATACAACGTCATACAGTTGGTTTCCGTATATACTTGATGTGGAAGAAAATTGAAAAAGCGCACAAAAATGGAAATCTGTTTCGTTGCACTCGTTTTAACATAATGTATGTAAATTTTGACCTAAGGTAAACACTAAACATATACATGTAGCATGTACATCTATATAAGTCCTAAACCGTATGTCTCATATAATTATGTTCCCGCGGAAAATCAATAATTTTCAATACGGGTTTTTTCAGTGACAAACAGTTATTATAATTTATTTAAACAAGTACTTTGACTTTGATTTATTAAAAAATTATCGTGTATTACCGGTTTAACTTCAGAAACTAAATAGATGCAAACTAGATGAATTATTTTCTTAATGCACCTCTAAGACCATTCAGCAATTAGTTTACATGGTTGTTGATTAATAAGTAACAATCAGTAGTAGAATAATGTTTAATAGATAAATGCTCACAATAATTTAAATATAGTTTTATATTCTTGATTTATGCTTTTTATATGAAATATTTTATTTCTTTTAAATTTTATTTCTCATTAATTGTATAAAGATTACTCACGTTTAACTGCACAGTCTAATACCAAACCAATATATAATATATATATATATATAAGACCTAAAATGTCTTTATTTTATCTTAAAATAAATTATATGATTATAATATTATGTACCTTACACGTTTTACAGTCTACCTACAAAACAAACAATTATATTCAATATTAAGATTKTTGAAGATAGTTAACAGGTATGCTGGCGTACCGAAASGAAATTATTTTTTGCTTTGTATCTACTAAAAAGTTTTAGAATACCTAAGAATATGTTGTAACACTATGAGCTGACGTTTGACAATTAACAATTATATAAGATTAGTTATTACAGTGATTTTGTTAGTACATTACATATTATGGTTAATTTTTTACAATACATTTTCGATTTGTATATATCTTTGATGAAGCTTAGAGTATTTGTGATGGTTTCTATGTTTGGGCCTAGTGATTCGTCTTTATAGTAACCTACCACACCTTTATTATACATTTTGTGTCTAATACCACAGAATATATCAAATCAGAAGGGACACTTTCAATGCAAACAAAAACGTGGCGGCCATGTTCCCGTTGGCTACTTTATCAATTWAGTGTTATCAGTTAAAAAACTGGTATAATTCATGATTTAATTCAAAACATTTACATTAAGATTATTAAAAATCTTAGYAAAAGCATTTGTACGTCTTTAGTGTGTACTGCTTTTTAACTGCAGTTAAAACATGCAGAACATGTTCTGTTGTGATCTGTCGTCTGTACTTTTTTGAATAATATACTGTGCATTAGAAGCATTATATAATWMCATACTCTTTTTATCTTTTTCCTTCTCAATCTATTTTCTTATTTTTAAACCATAATCTTAATGTAYCTCTATTATTCAARCTTGCCTTCAAACAATCGTGATCTAAAAATTTCAAAACTACATTTTAGCTTCTAATAAAATATAAAATATATATTTTATTTAATAGAACCTGAATTTTTTTTCCAATATATTGTATTTAATATGAATACCTATTTATTCGATATTTTTATTTGATTTATACTAATCTTATGCAGTTGCTAATTTTAAAATTAAGAATTTTAAGCAATTAATAAGTAATTTGAATAAAACTAGAGTTGGATCTATACATTTTTGGAAAAGCATTGTATTTAACATTTTGTTTTTCTGATATGGTTACACTATTTAGCCAACGGGAARATGGCCGCCACGCTTTTGAGTATTGGGTATCTTTATCRTGTTAATTTTTATCAGTGTCCAGRCCCTGCTAATACTCAAATACTTACATATACTTTTATGAAAATAAAAATTATATTTTTTTTTATTTTATACATTATGAATGTTCTTTAAATATTTATTATTTATCCCATAACAGAAATAGCATTTGCTCTATAGTCTATAGTTTGTTGGTACGTTTAGTTGTATTATAATTATTATAATTATTTATTTAATCCGTCACCCTCTCGGAAAATCCTAACCACGGGCTAAAAAAGAAATGGTGCCATAGCCTTTTACAACATTTTAATATTTAACATTCTAACGCTTCTTAAATAAACCTATAAAATATGTATAAAAAAAATGAATATATAATAATAATATTTTATTTAAAATTAATCACTAGCCAAGAGCCATTAATTATGGGTGCCTAATTTATTCAAAACTTTTCACTACTTTCTCCTTGTTATATAAACTTATTATGCAAATTCGTAAAGATTGTTTATGTCAAATAAAAATGATAATAACAAAAACAAAAAAAATCCGTCACCCATTTAAAGTGAAATACACTTATAAAAAATATAATATATATTTGTATTTTTATAAGAAATGCATTATTATGGTTTTAAACTAGCTTATTTAAATTATTTTTTTTCCATAATATAATATACTATCTAAAAATAATTCATTCACAATAATTATAAATGTCTAATTAATACGGCAACATTATTGGAAAATAGCTGAAGCTTTGTAGGTATGTGTGCATGTTTTTATTAATGCGATGCTYATAATATACATTAATTAAGCACTGTCTATACTTAAGTAGCCAATAATTTTTAGGCAATGCAGGTAATGCCCATTCATCAAATTAATTGTGTTAATAAAGGAAATAATAACAACAGTTTAATTTTCGGCTGTATAATAATATGCGTTTCAAAAAYATAATAATATGTTTTCAATAATTATTGTAATATTAAAACTATTTGTTAAACTATGTTATCAGTGGCGGCGTCGGAGACGGGCCAGGTGGTGGTCCATGGCCCTACCACTGACCTGACCTTAGACATAATGGTATAGTCATTTTTCATAAGCAGAAAATATTTAATAATGGTATGTATTTGTATTTTGTTTACTGTATGTAATTTAACATTAACATTTAACAATATAAATACTTCTAAATTATATAATATGATAATTATTGATAATATTCCTAGAATGAATAATACTCCCCCACTTGTATTAATAATTTATTGGTTTTCGGTAGAACGAATAGAACGTATTAAGATAGTATCGTATTCGATATTAGTTATTAGCCACTACCAATTTACYATTATAGACCTATAAACTAATGGACTGCGCGTAGAGAAAGAAACCGTCAGCCAACATTAAGCAAAGGAGATAGAGTTACGAGTTGGGAAAACAGTGTTATACACGTGGAAAAATCGGTATATTAAAAGAGCACTATGGAAAAACAAGTGCCAATAAAAGAAAACGAATTTATATAGGGAATATTCAATTGTATTTTGGACAAAATAACAAATAAGTTAGATAAGAGTGATAGTTCGTAATAAGCGGTATAAGTGCTATCTTAAAATCCAGAGTCAATAACATTTTTAACATATTGTGGCACTATGCTTTCTTTTGCAAAAGCTTATTTAGATGACATAGAATGCCTGAAATCAGAGTTAAAAATATTACACAAGTCCATGAACCGTTATGAAACAAAAAATAATTTAAAAATTAAAGATATTTTCCAATTTCAAAACTTCCTTAAGGAATATGAAATAACATTTTCAGAGACATATAACTATTATGCTCCATTGCTAATAATCAGTGGTGTATTTTGGGTGATTTCTCGGGGGGTGTTAACATTTATTGAACCTCACAAACAAAATTTTTAGTATTATTTACTAATGTAAAAAGACATTGAATTAATTTTTTAACAAATTAATATGTTAGGAATTGACAAGAAGTTTTACATTTGATAAAAATAGTATACTATAAAATAAGTGACAACACTAATGTCCAATATATTAGGACTTTTTTTTAAATGTCAGGGGGTGTCAAGACATGGAGGACACCCCCCCAAAATACGCCACTGCTAATAATAATGTCCATGTCACCAACTGCGTTTGAACGTACATTTTCATGTATGACACATGTAAAGAGTTACTTATAAAATAGTTTATTAGACACTAACCTTACAAGTTTAAGCATTATATCTATTGAAAAACGTGAAACTAATAATAAGTCACTAGACATTGTTGAAATAATAAATAAGTTTGCAGATACACATAACAATCGTAGAATTATTTTGGAGTAGTTTTGTTATAGTGTTTTAATCGTTTAAARTTGTTAAACATAGTGATTAGCTGATTTTAATTTTTTTTATTATTTATTTATTGTTAAAATCTCATTTTTTGGTGGCCCTAACTTAAGAACTACAAAAAGTTAAACTTTTGTTTTTTGATATATTTTTTAACGAAATTCGAAATAATATTGAAATCTAWCACCACCCATCTTAGACAGCCACACGTCATTTATAGTATATTTATATTTATTGTAATAATATTATAATGATAGGCGTAGAATATATTATATTTAATAATTGTGTATAATTATGAAAATTTTTTTAAGCTTTTTACTACATGTGCTGACGTAGGTATTGTATACGTGTTAACATAATGAACCAATGATTGGAGTATGAATTTTTATTTATTTAATTAAAATATATTCCACATTWTACAAAATAAGAACTATAATAGTGATAAGGATAGYATATGATAAGTCGTAGATACAAAAACATGAATCACATGAAGGTTATTCATAAAAAAAACCTCGGAAAACTTGTATTATAAATTTAAATTATTTTTATCCCTATTTAAGTCTCTAGATCAGTTTCTTTTTAGTTGACGAGGAACTTGTGGTAATGTGAGAGTGGACATGTTTTTAATAAAGGGGTTTATATGGTTGATTTATTT